ACTAATGAAATTGTAAAAAAATTGAGGTGAAATTGTATAAAAAGAATATAATTAATTAATATAATTGAGTTTCGGTAAAATGCTCATCGAGTATAGTCATCAAGTCTTCATTGACGTACCTATTGTGAATCATTTAGTATAATTTAACAAAAAAAAAAAAATTATTGCGTTGCCGAAAATGTAATTACATGACCATCCGAAATTTTCAGCTGTGTTACCCTATTACTCCAGCATGCTTAAAATACTTGGACCATTAGTACGCATAAATGCTATAATACGTGACTACGTCATTATAAACGATCCCGACGACATAAAGGTATGCAAGTTAATAGTTACATTGTTTCTAATACTTAATATTAGAATAGATGTGTATTTGCCATAAAGATATTGTTGTCCAGTACTGAACACATCACCAAAGGACCGGATTACAGGATGCTCGAGCCCTGGTTGAACAAAGGGCTTCTGACCAGCACCGGTATGATCTGTCGCCCACTCGTGGCCTGTATCGAATATTAAACGGTCGTTTTATATTATTAAACACCTACGGTAATGTTTTAGATGAAAAATGGCAAGCGCGAAGAAAGTTACTGACCAGCACGTTTCACTTTAAAATTTTAGAAACGTATATACCATCTTTTAACAAGCATGCACACACTTTAGTGCAAAACCTTGGCAAAGCATCGAAAAACGATGAACTTATCACGAACATAAGTTCTCACGTGACTCTATGCGCTTTAGATATTGTATGCGGTAAGCTGCTTTTTTTTTTTAATTTATAGATTAATAATAAATAATGTTACCCCTGTCTGGTGGGCAGTGCTTGAATTTGGAGCATAAATGGGGAGGTACGCTGGTATTAGTTTAAATTTCAGCGTTCCTCAGAACACAAATTAGTAGTCACCGTAGAAAAGGTTTTGATTTGAGGTGCATTTCTCACAATAACCAATAACGTTTTTTCAAAATATTATCTCCAAAAATTGTAGCTATTTTTTTTTTGTTATGTCGGGTTCAGTAAGTTTTATTTTTTTTTATATCTTACATAAATTTAACTATACAACTAAATTAAATATCGAATAAAAATGCACTGTCAATTTAATTAGTCCGGTATTGTTGTAACACAAAAACCTTATATTTTGTCAAACATATTATATTAAATGCTTAGAGTTTGTCATCGACTACAGCCTTGAAAGAAAAAGACGGTTGAAGTAGTTAAAAAAAAAAATGCTATCATTATTAAAAATCGTATATTTGATGTTTGTTAAATTATATACACCGCATTTAATATTGATGTTATAGAAACAATACTGGGCGTGAGCTTAAGATCTCAAGAAGGACAATCCACAGATTACGTTAATGCAATAAAAACGTAAGTGTAATCAATTATAACAATAAGTATATATATATAAATGTATATATATATATATATACATACAGGGTGTAATGTAAAGTTCTACCAAGCTTCAAATGAGGCATTCAAGATGCTCTATGAGTACAATAAATGGTGTTCATTTTTTTTTTTAATTTAAAAATTATTTAAAATAGAACTCGTATTTCATTAAAAAAATTGTCTTACGAAAAAAATTATTTTAGATTTGAAATCGGGAGAAAAAATGTTGTTGAATTGATATGTAGCATGATTTTTTGCTATATGACCACACATACGTCCACAGGGTGGCCACCGAGTGAGTGGCCGGCATGTGACTAAAATCAACATAATATGGCATGCGACACATAATTTAATGTAAAATAATTCTAAGGAATTAAAAATAAAATTCTAACTGATAATGATGTGTCTCTTGCCATATGTTGGTTTCGGTCACATGCCGGCCACTCAGTGGCCACTCGGTGGACGCAAATGTGGCCAGATTTAAAAAAAAACATGTTACATATCAATTCCACAAGATTTTTTTTCCGATTTCAAATCTGAATATATTTTTTTAGTAAGACAATTTTATAATGAGATACGAGTTATATTTTAAATAATTTTATAATAAAAAAAAAATGAATACCATTTATTGCACCCATAGAGCATTCTGAATGTCTCATTTGAATCTCGGTAGAACTTTACATTACACCCTGTATATATATATATATATATATATATATATATATATATATATATATATATATGTATATATTATAATTAAAACTGTTTAAGCTTTCCCAAGTGTAAACATGGGAATAATTGGATATATTGTTTTACTAGCGTGTGTCGTATAGCCGTCAAAAGAATATTAACAATTTGGCTTTGGAGCGACACGATTTTCAACGTCAGCACTGGCGGTAGAGACTTTTATAAATCGTTAAAAGTACTGCATACGTTTACTGAAAATGTAATTATAGCACTATACAATCGACAGTTGTACACAAATGAATATATTTGTACTATGTTTAACGAAAATCTAATTTCAGATTATTCAAGAAAGAAAACAAAAACTTATTTATTCCGAAAATTTAATTGCCGGCACCGAGGGTTTGAAATTCTGTTTGTTTGTAATCGATATTTATTTTTTATGCACTAAATTTGAAATGCTGATATTATTTACAGAAAGAAAAAGAGTACATTCATTCCTGGACCTATTAATCGGCATTTCCAAAGAACATCCTAACTCGATGACAGATGCTGACGTCCGAGAAGAAGTAGACACTTTTCTTTTCGAAGGACACGATACCAGTTCAATAGCTATGACAATGGCATTGATTCACATTGGCATGAATCAAAACATCCAGGTGCTTAGTTTATTACTATAAATTTTACTTATCTAAAACGAAACGGTAATTTTTATCGCCGTTTTACAAACTATATATTAATAACTGATATTTTTATTTATTGATCAAAACGTTTTAGTTTAAAACCTTTTGAGACGGACTTTTAGGTGGCAAAGTAAATCAAACAGCAAAGTTAATAAAATTTGTTTAATACAATTTGATATTTAACTAAAAATGTTCAAGTCATATATTAACATAGAAAAAAAACATTCCTGATTGATATCAACAAATGTGTGTTTCAATTTTTACAACGCAATAATTGTTAAGCCAATTTTGTACAGATACACGTCTATGGCGTTAATCTAAAAGGAAGATTCTCTTTTCTGGTATCTAAGTGGTTTTAATCTGAAAGTACGTTTGTACAAAATTTAGATATCGAGACACTATCGAGATTTTGACATAAGCGGTTTTTGATAGTTGTTAGAAACTGAGTAACGAACATTAAATTTTACATGTTTTTAAAGTTTTATAATTGGCCAAATCAGTTGAATAAAAAATTATCAGAGTGAAAATCTATATATGGTCTCGAGCTTTAATTTTGTATAGACTTGATTTTACTCTAAATTTTCTCAGAAAAATACATCTCAAGTGGTATTTTTTAAATGAAAATCGAAGGTGCCCTTTTAAAATGTTTTACGAAACACCCTAAAAAAGAATGTGAGGGTCGGACCATTCATCATTATATTTACATCTTAACCTTTAATTATGTACCTAGGGATGATTTAACCAATCCCCCTCGATATAATATTGAAAAATTAATCTATTAAATTATTCATTTGTTGATATTGAAAAAACTTGTAGAAATGTTAGGACGGTGTTAAGAAATTTTCATATTTTCATAAAACAACTTAAACTACTACCGAGAGTTTAAAATAATGAAAACTCCCCACATTCCTGGCTGTGTAGATTTTTATCACATCCCATAAATCCATTCCAGATTATGTTGTTAAATCATAGCGTGGTTAGTGATATTATATGTGTGTCTATAATAAAGTCACACGGTTCTTTTGCAAAATATGTTGTCCAACAAAATACAACTATTATCACCTATTTTATTTTACTCCTTAATACTACACAGGATGACATCCGAGAAGAGCTTCATGGAATATTTGGTGACAGTCGTCGAGATGCTACAGTGGAAGACCTTAAAGCAATGCCGATACTAGAAAGAGTAATAAAAGAAACCATGAGACTTTACCCTAGTGTTTCGGGTATTATGAGAAAAATAAATCAACCATTACGTCTTAGTATGATTAAAAACTGAATTCTTATACTCGGCTATACAATTATCAAAATATTAATATTTTAGAAAATCATATAATACCTGCAGAATCTATTGTAGTCATCATAATTCATTTATTACATCGTGATGAGTCGATGTATCCGGACCCAGAAATGTTTAATCCCGATCGATTTTTACCAGACCAGTGTATCGATCGACACCCATTTGGATACATACCGTTTAGCGCAGGACCAAGGAACTGTATCGGTATGACATAATTAATAAACAAACTTGTCTAACAAAATCTATTTTGATTGTCATTTTATAAGATAAAATAAATTTACTGTTTGATATTTTAGGTCAGAAATTTGCAATGTATCAAATGAAGACTGTAATATCAACAGTTGTTAGATACATGAAATTGGAAACACTAGGAACGCAAAAAGATATTGTTGTTATTCCACAGTTGGTATTAAAAGCTGAGTCTTTGCCTAGTTTAAAAATAACATCACTTTTCAAAAATCATAAATAATGAGAATTAGGGTTGCTGTTGAGCACAAAAACATGCAAAAATAAAACTTCAGAACACAAGGTCCACTTAGATACTTCAAAGAATGTTATATTTGTAGATCATAGTAATAAGCAGTAGATAATAATAAAAGCAAATAATTTACTTAAATTAGTTAATATTATTTATTTAATATTTTTATTTTATTTATTACTTTTTTATATGGCTTATAACAATATCACTTTATCTGCCTTGAAAAACTTATAATATTATTTAAAATAAATTTACTAGAATGTAGTGAGAAGTGATATATTCGTTCTAATTCTCAGTTCTAAACACTTAAAATTAAACGTTACTATTATTATTAAGTTAGATTTTTATCGACCACATCGTTGGTAGTACAGTTGCATTTTTAAGTAAAATATATAAGGACGTTGACATTAAGGAATACCTATATTTTACAATATTTACAAAACAAAGAGATATTACCAGTATATTCATTGTGATTTAATTATGACCATATAACAATAGGTACGTATCGAATGATCTTAACTAGTCTGGACAACATTATTTTCGGATTTGTACATCCGGTTTACAATAAGATTCGTTATTGATACAACGATACAAACCGTAAGCGAACCTATACTGAATATTCTAAAAGCATCGATGATTCCTAGATTCTTGATTATATAACCTCCAACAAAATTTCCCATCGGAATACCTAAAAGAATACAAAATAACTGTAAATTAAATCAATATAATAATCATACGCAAATCAACAAAGCGTCCATAAAGATGAATATAAACTTAAAACACTGCAAACCTATGCCCTTCATTGCCATTCCATAAAATCCTTGCATCATCCCTTCTGCACCAACTGGAGCCAATTTAGCGGTATACGCGACTCCGGCAGAATACGGTAATGCAAAAGTGATTCCATGAAGTAATTCAACGCTCAAAGCAACCACCGGATTTTTAATAATCGAATAAAGACCAAATCTGATTGCAAAAAACACGAACCCCAATGAAAACACGTTCATATGACCCAACTTTTTGATTATATAACCTAGTAAATACAAGAAAACATTTATGCAATTCGCAATTATTATTTTGCCACGTCTACCAACATGAATTATTACTTACTTGAAATAAAAAAGAACGGCACTTCCCCTAAAAAACATTGTATAGTCTGAGAAAACCCTTGAATAGTTTTTATATAGGGTTCATATTCAGGATGATATAAATTGGTTATGTCTTCAAAATACCTAAATGCAGAATAAAACAAATTATTCATTGTTAATTGAAATTTTACAAGTTTAAAAAAATTGTTAACGGTTATTATTTTTTCCAAAATTATGATTTGGAATCTATAACTATATCGATGACACGGTGTACAGATATATACAGGGTGGTCATTTTATCGTCAACCACGCAATATCTCATACGGTTGATAAGAAATTGATTTTTATTTTATATTGTTTTTATTATACAATGTGATTCCAATTTTTTTTTGTTTTTACCTTCCTTCTAACTTAGTTTTTTTATGGCAAATTTTGAAACTTGAATGGTAACGCTTACATTTTATTAACATTATAAATTGAGAATAGTGGACTAAAATCAGTGCGCACTAACCATCCTAACCTCAAAACTTATAATTTTAAAAATAACCATGCAAAAATTGTTATCAACCAGTCAAAATGTTAAGTTAACTATTCTAAAAAAAAAGTTAAGTGTAGTTTAAAAAATAAAAATTATGGAAAATTGAGATAACATTTTATAAAAAATAAAAACAATGATACATTGTTTTTTAATTGTACGATATTATATTGAGTGGTTCGTGATAAAATGATTACCCTGCAAAAGCGCAATTTTAATTTTGTTTTGTTATTAGGTGAGGTATAAGAAATAATACTTAAAAGTCCTCTATACAATTTTTGTACGAATATTGGAACACAAAGATTGATATTTTCACTGTTAGAGGACTTGAAATTATTTTTATACGGAGTGATTCATTTTGGGTAAGACACTCATTTTCTCAGAATATATTAGTATTTTGAATAATTGTTTTTTTCAATATTTTTAGGTATACAATTTAATGGCATAACTCATTATCTTATATTTTTTTAAATATACACTTAAAAATATCAATTGATAACATTTTCTGTCGACTTTATTTTTGACGTTTGTATTAGGGCACAGCATTCATTTAACCGGTAAGTGTGTTGAAGTTTGACTAAATGTAATTTAATACAATACGAATTCAACTAGCGTTTTTAATTTAAGTTGAATAATTTTTCCGAAAACATTTCATCATTTTAAAATAAATGTTATCATGTCAGAATTATCTTAATGGTTTTGAGAATGAACAATTATATCAATTACTATGAAAATGATTTTTTAAATTGGATCCAAGACCTTACAATGATATAACAAGGTGTAACTTATAAAGTATTAAAGTATGTGTAAATATAAGGCATTCATTTCTAATGTGACATTATTCATGTGAATGTGTAATATCAATATTAATTAATTTTAATGAAAAGTGTGTTGTGTTATGATTAATTTCGAATAATAATTGATACCTGAATTTGTATATGTGAGTTGATAATACCCAACACATATGTTTAAATTAATTTTGAAAATATGAGTAATTATAGTATGCATTAATTAGTAATCACTTCTTAATAATATTGTTATTAATTTTACTTAAAACCTATGTAAGCATATTATTTTTAATTGATTAAATTTATCTAGGGTATATATAGTATCTTACCCAAATGTTGTGTGTCTAACATACAGTACGGAAATTTGACCATAAAGTTTTAGCTATAACTGAACATTTATTAATATACAATTCTTATCTCTTTAAAACGCTGTAGGTAATGCTATTAATTTGTAGTTATTAAATTCAGTAAATCAAGTAAATAGTTTTTTTCAACTGTTTAAAAAAAAATTAATTAAAATCAGTATTGTAGAGGTTGAAACATTTTAAATTTATTATAATTATTATGGTTTTCGTTTCATAATATTTTCAAAATAGTAATGTATTTTGACCTAATGTGTACCTAAAAATATTTTGAGAAATAAATATTGTTCAAAATATTAATATATTCCGAGAAAATCTTACCCAAAATTAATCACCCTGTATATATTATACGACATCGTCCCTGTAAATAAAAAAATCAAACTTATGATACCTGTGCGCTATACTATCGATGTGATATTGTATCTTACCAGAAGAGAAAATACTGAATAAAGGTATAAAAGAAACCGAACGAGATGGTTGCAATTATAAATACGATTACTCTAAAATCAGTTAAAACTCTTTTCATATCGCCATTAAAGTTTTCTGTTTTTTCAACTTGTTTAACCTAAAAATATACAGATTCATTAGTGTACTTTATTAAAAAGTATCCCTCTACCAAAATGATATCACCATACAACCATAACAGATGGTTTCGGAAATCGCCGTATTAATTTGTTCGATTGAACAAATTGAGTGAAACCAAAATTTATTCTTAGTACAGATTACCTTGATTTTAGCCGAAACGTAAATATCGAAGGCTACGCATACTATTGTTATCACGAATCCGGGTCTAAAGTCGTTATGATCTCGTCCTTTGCTAAACCAGTCGACGACCACGCCAGAAACCATAGAACTTATACCAAAACCAATTGCTCCCCAAACTACTTGGTGTCCGTATTCGTGTACATTGTCTCCTGGAGAAAAAATGATGATAGTCTTAATAACGATTAATGTCATAACAAAAAAAAAATGGATTAAAATTTATTACGTGCTGTCTGAGCGCGAAAACATTTATGATTAGTGAAGAAATACTTATCGACTAGGTGCATTCATATACCGAGTAGACTGACGCAGATCGTGTCCTCCATCAGCGACCGCATTGTAGATCCGAGGTAAAAGAAAAACAGTAAAAAAAAGAACACCCAGTACAGCGAAGTCTCAAATACGATCTCATCAGCGATACTCTCTGGCGCCGTTGCACCAGGTATGAATATCAATCCGAGAACTGCTATTGCTAAAAGCACCTCTCCAATGAGAAATATTGATTTTCGGCATTGGTAGCGGTCCGTGACGATCCCTATCACAGGCCGTACAACAACACTGGGTATCTGCATACCAGTCAAAGTGATTCCCATCGCAAATGCGGAATAACCTCGTTGTTTTCCAATTGTGGTAAAAAACGGTACAACAGGTGCGTAGGCTAATGTTAAAAATATAGAAATAAAACGTTGATAATTAATAAAAAAATCGCTACTACTTTTCAATGCAACAAAAAAAAAAAAAAATAAAGAACTCAATCTTTCTAAGATGTTTCGAATAACTATTTTTTGGCCAATTAGTTTTTTTTAAAATTATCTCGACAGTAAATTAATTAGCCTGAGAAAAATGAAATATTCGAAAAAAACTCGAAATCATTTGATCTCATTTTTTGTTTTTAGATTAAATTATAATTGTTCGAATAAAAACATCAGTCGTCGGTCATTTCAATAAATTTTCTTTTGCGGTTTTTCAAAGGCCATTAATTCTCATTACCGCAACACAAACCTGCTTCCATCTATCACTATCCTGTGCTACTGTATCTCCTTCCTGAATTCCAATTTCCACTAGACTCTCTGCGACTTTGTCTGTCCACCTTTGTTTAAGTAAGGTCAGCCGGCATAATCTACTTTCTAATTTGTCTACGAGTTTTAAAGTTTTAACTTTTACTGGCTATAAAATTGAGAAAAAGAGTCGGATCGAGTTGAAATGTATAAGAAACATTTATTTGATATTCCCCTATACGCCAAAAGTCTCAAATTAAAAATTATACCCATTTCCCATCACCCCCTCTCTAAATAAGGATGAAAGTTTCTTGTATTTTTTAGCTGTAATTTTTGAACCCTTTAGTTGAAAATTTGTCAGGATTTTATTTGTCACCCGCTGTTTACTACTTTAAAATAAAATCATTGGATACAATGGGTAGACCATTATTTATCACAATATATTATCTTTTAATCACTCCCAAAAAATTCCTTTTTTTAATTTTAGTTTTATTACAGAGTGAAGCCATAGATTACTATTCAGATACATACTATTCAGGGTGTCCCACAAAGATCTGACAAATGAAATAACTTTTGTTCTAGTGAATATTTTTAAATTGTTTTAATTTATGTATACTTATTTGCACTACAAGCACCACACTTTTTATTGCACTTAACTATTTTACTTTTTTTAATTATGTTTTTTATTTTTTTGTTACATTTTTGTTAAAAAAATTTAAAATAGTAATTTTATTAAGAATAATTTGCTGAAAATTTTGACTGGTTGTTAACCAGATTTAGGTAATTACTTTTTAAGTTACCAAAGGTAAAAGAATACGATGGGAGGTGTATTGCGGTAGAGTAAGCGCGTAGGGATATTTTTATTTAAGTGCATTAGTATCTAAACGCAAGTAATTACCCAAATCTGGTTATCGACCAGTCAACATTTTCAACAAATTATTTTTAATAAAATGGCTATCGTAAATTTAAAAAAAAATGAAACAAAAAAAAATAATTAGGTGCAATAAAAAAACGTAGTGCTTATAACGCAAATGAGTATTAAATAACTAAAAAAAAAAAATGTTAAAAATATTCTCTAAAACAAAAATTATTTTTACACTATTTACATTTATTGAGGTTACTCCCACTTGGATGTCTTGACTAGGTCGCCAACGTTTCGGAACACTTGCACGTTCCATCTTCAGAGCTGTGGTTTGATGTTGCTCGTACCGCGCTCTCCGGCACACTGACCGATTCGCTTCCGTGGGCGTAGGTTATATACCATACCCCCCACAGCATTCTTCGCTACCTCTTGCCGCTGACAGCTGTTTTCTACGGCCACGCCCCTTCGCCTTGACCGGCTACCGTATGACTGATTTTCGTTTCCGTTATCAATAGTTTCTTGCTGTATTTCCTCTTTGTCCCGTTTGGTCAAAGGCACAGTGGTAATTCCGTTTATAAGTGGATTGACCGAACGCATAGAACGAGTAGCAAGAAAATACAGTATAAGCACAGTTTACTCAACAGTGAAGAAATTGGAAGAATTTTTCCGGAGTCCAAAAGATGAACTACCGAAACTACAAACACCGGGAGTCTACAAACTTCAGTGTACCTGTGGTCATTCATACATCGGTCAACCTATTGAAGTACGTGCAAGAGAACACGAAACAAATTTGGACTACAAAACAACTGGAAAATGGACCATAGCATAACACGTGGGTCAAGAAGGTCATAGCGTAAACTTTGAAGAAATCAAGGTCCTGTCTCGAGAATCCCATTACTCGAAAGCATGGTGAGGGAAGCCATAGAAATCGAAAAATGCACAACAAACTTCAACCGAGAAGATGGTTGGAAATTGAGCAACACGTGGAAACTTGTGATATATCAATTAAAAAGAGGACCAAAGGAAACCAGAGACCAAACGGGACGAAGAGAGCCGGAAATACAGCAAAAAACTATTGATAACAAAAACGAAAATCAGTAATGCGGTAGCCGGCCAAGGCGAAGGGGCGTGGCCGTAGAAAACAGCGGTCAGCGGCAAGAGGAAGCGGAGAATGCTGTGGGGTTATGGTATATAACATACGCCCACGGAAGCGAATCGGTCAGTCTGCAGGAGAGCGCGGTACGAGCAATATCGAACCACAGCCCTGGAGATGGGACGTGCAAGTGTTCCGAAACGTTGGCGACCTAGTCAAGACATCCAAGTGGGAGTAACTTCAAGTCATGTAAATAGTGTAAATATAATACCCCACTCTAGTTTCAATCATTTTTTAAAAGTTATTTTATTTGTCGAATCATTGCGGTTAGGTTAGGTAGGTTAGGTTAGGTAGGTTAGGTTGCAGATAACTCACTGCTATAGCAAAAATGCCATGCGATATTTTACTATCGGTAAAGAGCGATAAGGGAATTGAAATTAATAAAAATGTATTTTATTACTACGACGACGACGGGCGATAACAGATCGCGACGGGAGTTGTGCGAAAGAAACCAGTTTTCCATCACGATTAAAAATAGACCAATATTTAGTTGAATTATAACAAATTAAAAAAAACAGTATGCTCATTATTTTAACGTTTTGCTTTTTAACAGAACCTTTCAACGTTCATCGTACATTTTAATACAATTTTTATTAACAAATTATATAATTAATATAGTTAGTATAGTTCTATTGTATTATGTTTATTATTATTAAGATCATTCTTTTAATAAGTAAATTATATGGAATTAAATTTATACATTTAAGTGTTGTAAAATTATTAATTTTGATTAGGTTTCTGTGAAGTTTTTTTTTTTTTTGAGCTCAGAATTTATACAAGATCATTTACATTCTATACACATTTTAACAATAAAAAAGCCAGTAGAATGGGGTTGGAGCATAGTGGAGACTAGGACGTCACAGGTGTACAGGCATATTTTAAATAAAAACGATAAAATTACTTTTAATGAAACGCTTTGACGCTTATTTTTAAATATTGCACATCACTTTAATAATTTCTTACTGTGCTTGGTTTTGACTGTACTGATTTGAACATAATAACCTATGATTCGCATCAAAGCGTTTATTTGTAAATGATTTTATTACTTTCAATTATAATAACTTTTGTAAGCCGGTGACCTCCTTGTCCCCAATATGATCTGTTCCCCACTATGCCCAACCCCACTGTATTAGCTTTTTCTATTGGTATCCATATTGGATAAATGGTAGTTATAATTTTTATATCTTACCGCCCCATGCGAAGAAATAGTTCATTTTCATAAAAAGTAAATCCATGTTGATTTTGCTGCCACATAGCATGATTAATTTTTCTCTACTTTCATAAAAATTTAATGGAAAACAATTTTAAATTAACAAATCGTGTTGTCAACTGAAATACTAAATACCTTATGATGTATTAACTAACTTGAGAGATAGCTTTCAATGATATGTGAATAATATGACATTTAATTGTTTGCTAAAATTGGCCTTCACGTGATTTGTAAAAAATGTTTATCTTATGATCTAGTATATAACTTGAGAGATAGTTTTCGATGGTATGTCCATAATATAACATTAAATTATTTGACAATATAATCTGCATTAAAAACACTTATGAGACTCAAGTGTAGTTTACAGAAAAACAGTTGGAAATTGTCAGAAGAGTACAATTGCTGATAATATTGGTCATAATACTCATAAAGTAGCTTTAAATTATGGTTCTGAATGAATAAGACACAACGATCAGATATGGCAATACGGTCAAAAAGAACACGAGTTATCTCCCGCTTCTAACTATTCAGATACGCCCAGACACGTTTTACTGTGATGTGAGCTTTTTTTGTGTCTTTTGTCGTACACTTGAATGACGCTTGTATTTTGGGTCGAACCTGAGTAATATTTATTTACTGACTTCAGAGTATAAATAGCCAGTGTTTCTAAACTCGTAGGGATTATACCATCGGTACACTTTGACCTAGAGCTAAGTATGAGAACTTAGTTGAGACAGTGACTGCTCCGTATTTACTTTATTGAGTTAAGAGACCAATTTATAACAAAGAAACCTATCATAAATAAACTCGGTGACTATTGTTATATTTTACACTTTCGTAATAATTAAGTTATTAAGGAAAAGGTAACTCTTTAAAAGTAAAAGTAAATAATAACTTCAAACGGATTTACGCACAAAATAATATATGATAAGCATTCAAACAAAAGTTAAAAGTACACAAACGATCATCAACGCGATACAAACACCCCTCGTATAAACGATAATACACGAGAGAGTGACCATTCCCCGGGCTAAGCCCAAGAGAGTGCCTCTTCTACATCACAATTTGTGCGGCTTTAAATAGTAGAAATAAATATAATTTTCGCTGTATAAACATATTAACTGTTTGCCATTTGGCCTAGATATATTGCTTAGTTTCATAATAACACTATTTTTCCTTGCTCCTACTACACTTTATACACTGTAACTTTTTTAATACTGGACCAATTTTTTTCAAGTGTTAACTCTGTAGATAACAAATTTCATGTACTACGAAAATAATAGGCCTGGATTATCGATGGCCGGATTACCGAGAGTCTACTGTATTTGGATTACATCATTACTAAAATATCGTACCTAGTTAATGTGATTAACCAGTTTTTTTTTTTTGTCTTAGCACACATAGATATTTAAATAGAGAGAGAGAACAACATTTGTTAAAATATAAAGCGGAGTGCCTGTCTACCAGGTTGGTTATAGTGACACGGTATACCTAGTATACCATTATAACCACAAAAACATCATAAATATGGTCCAAGGTTAGAATTTCGTAGCGGCGCTGTAGGTTGATGGCAGATCTACGGAGATTGTTTATATTCGTCAATTCTTCTTGAACGTCTTCGAGCAAGGGGTTTTGATTACCTCTAGGGGTCTGATTATTTTCCGTCGGTTTGTTTTCGTCTGTTTGATCTTCAGTGCTTCGTTCCATATTCAAAAAAATGGCTTGGCTTAAAGTTATTTTTCTAAGAAAGGTATTACATATTATATTTTAACAGCTTACTACACTCCATCTTTCCTGGCTGTCTGTGTAAAGAAACACAAAACATACAGAAAACACTATATGATGTGAACTACACTGGGCAGAGTATTCGTGGGTTTTATAATTCCCTAGAACACATATTTATTGCTCAACAAATGAATCTCTATTCGTATGTCGATGACGTGAAAACATAAAACACGAATTTTTCATGCATATTTTGGAATGACCCCAAGCCCAATAATATATCCATGTTAATATGCCATAACAATATAAAGAATTATTGACATTTTTATGTCTGCTTTGGCTCACAAACGGAAAAATCGACAGTTAATCATACACGGGGATGGAGATGTTAAATATTTTTAATTATGTTTTGTTTTCACAACGAACAAACTTGAATGAACGGATTGATTCAATATAATTAACCAAGTGAATGTTTCGCCTATTAATCGATTAATGCCAATTATTAAAAATTACTTAAAAACTTTTGGCCACAATAAAAAATTAATCATCACCTACCTTTCGAGTACCGTGGTTACCATTGTTACAAACCGAGTGTTTATTTTGGGTTAGCGACGAAAAATATTTCAAGTGGTATCAAGGCGTACGCAAGCCGGTAAAAATTAAAATATAATATGTAGTACCTATGTGAAAACATTTAATAGAGCCTTGCTAAAATTTCAAAAAAATACAAAGCATGTAAAGTAGGGTTGGTTGGATTTTTTTAAATCATTTAAGTTACATAGGTACTAGTACATAGCCGATCAATAAAAAAACCAGCTGTAAAAACGTGTATTGAATACATAGTTTTTTTTCAAGCAGTTTATTTGATTGAATATTCGTGAATTTTTTTTACATATGTAAAATTATTCTAATATTAAAAATATGGACAAAACTCTTAGAAGCTGGGTATTAAGATATGTAGTTAAAACCAAAATAATTTATTTTATTGTGGAGGATCTACTGTATAAATAGGTAGTAGATATAGGAAGTTGAAATATGGATTATCGATAGCATAATTAAAAAATGTTGTCAGTACAAAATGTCGAGAGAAATTTTACAAGAGAGTATTCTAAAGTTTTTTGGTTCGCACTTCACAGTACTTAATACGAATATTACGGCTTCACTATATGTTTGTATAAAGAGATTGCTGTGTCAATGGTTTTATAACTGATATGGATTATTTTACGTCGTCAAATGGTTAATTGTGTTGTACATGTTTGAACAATTAATTTACTACAATGTGACTTATCTCTCAGTGGAGTATCTTTTCAGTATTACCGCCAGTTGAACGATTTTCTAAATATATTGAAATGTCTTTAATCTGTACAACAAAACTAGTTAAAAAATATAACACACATGGTATAGTAAATTTTTTTTGTCAAATTAACTCGTATAATCTGAAATGGTCATACATTTTTTAGTCGAAAATCAAATGCCTATAAAAGTGTGTTCAGATAACTTCACTCTTATTTGCATAAACTAACGTTGCTGTATGAAATGAAATCAGTTGATACAAAACATTGTATATGGTTTCATATATTATTTCTAAATCTCTTTTTTTTAAATTCCATCTACAAAAACGCTTGTTTTTATTATGGTTGTAACTTGTATTGCAGAGTAAAACGTTTGTGACGTAGTTTGATAATTACATTATCAATTTTTATTATTTAATAAAAACCAATTTGTCAACATAACATAATTAACTGAATATGGATTTTATTATGCCACAGTTGATATAAAGACTATTTGAACAGAACTCTACTTTTTGCGGGTTGACCGAATTTAATTTATGTAACTATAAATTGGCAGCCATTTCGTGAGAAATGACAACATGAGTTGATTATAATATAGTTGTTCTAATTATCGATTTGTCAGACCGAATAATCTTAGATGATAACCATATTGTAAATTAGGTATGTAGATAATATTTTTTATGCGTATCTCTTTCCATATTAAAACTACCCCTAACAAGACCTTTAACGTATAACAACTACCTAAATGTATTACAAGGTGATTGTTTTATCATGAACCTGTCAATATCTAACTGGGTTATAATTGGTAATTAAATTTTTTTTTATACGTTTTTATAAAACGTGATCTCAATTTTTCACAATTTGTTTTTGTTTTTACCCCCCTCCATAAACTAGTTTTTTTGATAGCAACTTTTGAAACTATGATAACGTCTATATGTACGAGTATTTTATTAAATTTTTAAATTGAGAATAATCTACTAAACATTTTGATTGGTCGATAAATATTTTTAAAACTATAAGAATTTAGAAGTTAGGATGGGAGAGGAACTGCGGTTGGAAAATGCGCGCAGATAAAAATTAAAATATACTCCTTCTTTCTCCATGCCCTTAACTTGAAACTGCAAACATTTCAAAAACAGTTATCCGAAACTGGTTATCGACCAGTCAACATTTTTAGTACATTATTCTAAATTAAAAAGTTAATGAAATATATGCGTTACCATTAAAGTTTTAAAAGTTGCTATCAAAAAAAACTAAGTTGGGAAGGGGTAAAAACAAATGAAAATTGTGAAAAATTGAGATCACGTTTTATAAAACCGTTATAAAATAGTAAAATGCAATTATTAATAAAACCCAGTGAGATATTGACTGGATCATGATAAAAGAATCACCCTGTATGTAGAGCACAGCGTTAAACATTTATGCGTATGTAGGAATATGAACAGTACTGTCGCTTTTGTACTATTTCAATAGACTTGTTGTGCGTAAAAGTACAGTGTACTTATAACTACACTAGCGGGACATTTTGGACACCACTAATTTTTATTGTATATTATTTTATTAGCCTCAAAAATGGTTTTTATTTGAAAAATTTTCGCATGTCAACTAGGTATTACAATTGTCTATACCATCAATAGAATATATCTAAACAATTCGATTTTATCATCTTATAAAAATATTATCGATCATTTTTTCAGCGAGTGCCGAATTTTTCGGTCGTCGTTATACCTGTTTCGGTGACAGTGTGAGAAGAGGAAGAGGGAAGTGCATGCACGCACATGCACATGTGCATCACACTGGCCAAACCAATTATCCGATAAGTAAACTGAAAACATGTTTGAATTTGTCATGAAATTACATGAGATCGGCCCAGTGTACTTTTTTTATATTTTATTCCTACTACGTATAAACCCAAGTTTGAAGATTTTGTAAACTTTCAAATTTTAAAATCAAATTTGGAAAGGGTTAAAATTAAAAATTAAAAAAGTGCCCCAACCGAACTCAAGTAAACTTCGTGAAAAATTCAAATATGTTTTTAGATTGCTTATCTGATCACTAGTTCAGTCTGTGCGATGGACAAAAAATGTTGTGT